GGGACGGCGCCGAGCAGCTCCCAGATAGCGGTGTAAAGCTGAGGTAAGCGCCCGGGGGATTGTAAATGTGAGATTCATCAAACTGGCTTGAAACCCTCAGGAAAGACGTTGGGACGCTGAAGTTGCACGCCCTGGTTTGCTACCTTATTCTGTACTCGTTACCTTAAAACGTGAAGCCGAGCGTTGGCCTTGCGTGAGGCGACAGAGCTGGGATAAACTCTGCTCAGCCGTGAGAGCGTGCGGGCTCGAGTCGGCCTAGTCCCGTTGCCCTTGCTTAGAGAGACGCCTGGGCCGTAGCTAGCGAAGGTGCAGGTGGGCCTGCTGGTGGAAATTTGGAAGAATCCGAACCTGTAAAACCCCCAGCAGGGCATCGCCTCTGTTGGTGCAAAAGGGCACGTTCCTCCCATGGACTGTGTCTGTTTTCTGTGGTTTGCAGATACCGGCTGTCACCCATGTGCGTTTCGCTGGCCAGAAGACATAGATGTCCCCTGTGACTGAGTCCTTGCATGGGTGTTTTGAAGATGAAACGCTACATAAACTCTTAAAGCATACCACCTGAGGACATTGCTACCGACATGGACATCATTATTTATTTACGGATGCTTTAATCAGTAGGAGCTTTTTTGTAAACATGAATTGCTGGGCTCTTTCCTTGAGGTGTCGTTTCTTGTTTCATGCTATTGAAACATTAATCTTAACTTATTATGACTCCTTTGTGTTGGTCAGCTCTCAGGGACATTTCCCTAGGCTTGAAAATGTGGGAGCTTTCAAGAATGTGTCAATCGTGCCAACTCAAGCCACTTGTGGGCTGCCAGACCGAAGTACTTTCTGTCATAGCTCGGTAGTTGAAGAAAGTATTATGTCCTGCACCCAGAGGTTTTGTGTTCAGGAATGTCCATATAGGTCGTCGCCGCCTTCCTACAAACTGCTTCTTTCAGAAGGCCTTGGTACCTGTATCACAGAGGACAAAAGGGATTTGCATCCAGGGTCCTTCAGCAACGCTTCCAGTTTTATTTTTCATAATCACAAGGATTGCTTCTCTACTCCCCATTCTCCGAGGCTTGCAGCTTCATTTACATTAACTGTATGGTTGAAACCTGAGCAAGAAGGTGTAATGTAAGTAGTATTGAAGGTGTTTACTTTCCTGGTGCTCTTAAAAAAATTGATCGTTGTAGTCACGGTCATTATTAGCAAGCTATTTAAAATTTTAAAAAGGTACAGTGAGAAACTGTGGCGTTTTAAAGCCGTATTTAGGTTGGGGTCTTCGCAAATGTCAAGGCAAGTAGATTCAGTTTCAGTGGTGTTGACTCAGATGATAGTCCAGTTGCTTTCAGTGGGAACTATTCATACGTCATGTGCGTGTTTATTCTTAAAATCTAAATTTGTATTTCTAATTCACATTCCTCCTTCTAAAAACTGCTAGAAAAACATGTTGTTGGGTTTGTGCTGTTGCTGCTTTCATGATGGAAAAAAATGATCTAAAATTTTAGGAATCCCCCAACATACGTTTACTCCTTGAAAACAAACAAGGAAAACCCCCAGATCTTCCAAAATGATTATTTCAGAACTATAGAAGAGCAGTCATAGTTTTTCTGGAAGATCTGGGGAATGTTGACTGAACGAGAGATGGTGTTGCTACTTTAACAAAAGATTCCACTATTCAAATTGCTAATGAAGTTTCACTAGGTGTTCACAAAATAGATGTGGCTAAGCATGCTCCCTCTCTTATTTGCCTACATGTCACATTTTTAGCAAATATTGTTATTACAAGTGGGCCTTCAGCGTGAATGGGCCTTACTATAATGAAAAACTTGCTTTTTGAACAATGTATCACAAATCCTGAAAAAAAGTTCCCTTCATCTATCACAAAATGCAGAGCCTCCTACTCTTTCTTACCCTGGTTGTGCAGATCCTCTTTAAAGTAAAGCACACAAAAAGTATAGTACATTCCTCCAGAGTTTGTCACAGATGTTTTTGTACTTGTACTCATAATTTATTCTCAGAACGGAAATCATGATATGCTCTGTTGTAGCATTCTTCATACCTATTTTGCATGGTGCTGTGAAATAGTTGTCTAGGGGTGTGAAAATCATCAGAAACAATAGAAATGTCTAAATTTGTAATGAGGTATGTAAAATTATAGTCTGCTTTATGCAAGGATAGTTACCTTTAAAACATCAACCTAGCTATAGAAATTGTGGTTACAGAGGGGAAATAAATGAGATCTGCAGAGCAAAAGTGACTTTAGTTTGAGCTTAAGTTAAATCAGCTCAGCTGAAGGTATGTGTAAAGGTGTCTCTGGAGCTTTGGCCTAGTGTCTTTTATAGACAGGATTTTCTATGTAACGTTTGAATCTTGAATGCCAGAGAGTCTATTCCTGGGGTTGTCGTATGCCATGAGTTCACATCCGCGCACATGCGGGCATATCAGAGTCTTATTCAGCAGAGCATATGCCTAACTTGAAGCAGAAATGTCCTGCTAATTTCCAAGCAGGTTGTTGCAGTGATGTGTTGAGTGAGATCTCTGAAACTCTTTTGTCAATGGGATAGGTTTTTGCTTGCATGGAGCCTAAAACAATGAAATGTATGTCCTTAGTTTCAAATGATTAAGTGCTGTGCAGAAACCAGACTCTACCGATGTCTGATTATCCATGGACTAGTGTAAAACATTAGCCTTCAGTTGCTGCTGTGTTAATAACTACACAATGTACATATTCCTGTTCAGTGGGTTTTATAGATCACTTTAAAATCTAAATGTTTTTATTCAATTTTTGTAATAGGCAACTTCATTCTTCTGCCTTGTGTGAGATTGCGGCTACTCAACGTGTAGAAATGACAATGGTAGAGCCCAGTCCTGAAAATTCACGTTGGACAACAGTTATTCCAGTGGTCAGGATGATATGCCACTGTCCAGACTTTTTTTCACTGTTCACAGAAAGTGTGTGTTAATTTTTCTTTCTTCATAAAAGGAATACAGAGCTCCAGTTGCAGTGAAACAGTAATTGCGCACGAATAGCCACTGAAGCTTGACTCAGAAGGCATCCTACAGAAGAGAAATAGTTTAACAGCAAACTAAGATGTTTTTCCTTTTATTGGTTTAGTGACTCCTTCAGGTTGTCAGGAGTTTGACTTGCCAAATGTCCTACATTTTGCAGTCCCTGATGGGGAATTGTCCCTGTTAGATGTCATTTGTGAGACCTTTTAAACCCCATTATCACAGCAGAGGGACTTCACGGAACTGGGACTCATACTAACAAAATCTTTGCGCTGCCACCACAACACTAGGAAGATGAGCCAGAACCAGCTGCTCATTTTACCAGTAGAATAATTGAAAGTTAAAAAGGTATTTTGTTTACTGGTGAAGTGCTCTTACATCAAGTGCAGCAGACCCATTGTTTTTGGACATGCCATACTAATGTGTTTATTCGTGCTGAATGTTATATGGTCTGGCTGCTAGAGAGTGCTTAGGAAAGAAACTAGGAGTGTTGCTGTATAGTATCCCATTGCATCCGTGCAAAGACTGTGACATTTCTGTTAGGCGTGTGCCCATGGAAGCATTTTTCTGCTAGAAGTTATTGTGCTGGCTGAAGTGAGAGATGCTGATGAGACGATCCAAAGTCTGATGGCCCTTTAAAGATTTATTCTGGGGGAGCAAATATATGTGCATAATCAAAGACGCCAAGAATTTTCTTCATCAATTTAATATACCAAGTTTTCTTATGTGAATCTGGGAAAGAACACACTTTCATACAGAGAGGAAAGTCAGGTCATGTTACGGATTTATTTGAAGCCCTAATGTTCTTCTAAGATGTATAGTATAGATATATGTAGGTATCTCTAACCCCACCATAGAGAATTATGTAGTCAGGAATTGGCTCTGTGGGACTGCAGGTTAACAGCAGTTGGAAACTTCACAAAAAAACACTGGTTTCTCTCTGTAATCATGGCTGGAATGGAAAATTGTGCTCAGAGTCAGAAGTAATGCTTATGCGTATTTCACCTATGTTAGCACTAGTTCGTGGTTTTTTTTTTCCTTTGCCCTCCCTCTCCCCCCCATTTTCTGCCTCTTGATTTTTCTCTTTCAGTAGCGTGTCACAATTCACATTTGTTCTTTCCAGTTTTCAAAGTGATGTACATCAAGGTCGCTTCCCTTCTTAAAGTCGTGACACCTTTGGGGATAAAAACAATGTGGGGATGTTTGTTTTAGATAACTAAAATAAACAAAAAACTGGATTATCCAATTATTGTTTATCCAGGAACTGGGTAAATCCAGTTCCTAAATATTTTGCTACTTAGCTGAGCCTTCCCTCACATTTATTATCTAGCAAAACTAGCATGTTTACAAGCAAACAAAATACTGAAAAGACTGGTTGACAATATATTAAGAAATGTGGTTTTAGTAAGGTTTGGAAAACAGAAGTCTGCATTTTGCAAGTTGTTTTATTGACAACATTCCAGCACGCTAAAATGGTAACAGTTAGAATGAATTAATTTTTCTCTTGGATTTAAGGGTGAATTAGCAAATAATGGCAGTTTCAAAGAACAGCATTTTTGATCCTTTTCTTTTATAAATGCATAGTAGGTGAAGATGCTTATCGGTAGGTAAGTTGGTTTTTTTGGGTGGGTCGTCCCCCCCCCTCCCGAAATACATCTAAGTAAATCCTGGTCTCATACAAATTTTAATATGCTTCTCTCTGTGACTTAGTGCACTAATTTAGCCTGGTGTAACTGTTAAAATATTTTTCATGGGTCAGTAAATTGGGGACTGGATTTCTCAAGCAGCTGAAATGGGAATGCAGAACTTTATAATTTCTGTTGTACTGGTGATTACCTCAATAAAATACATAGCTGTTTCACAAGCATATATAGCTCAGGACCCTTGACATCATGGTGATTGGATTGGCAAAAATATTTCAGCAGCTAGATATGCAACATGGGTTGCTATGGATGGTATTCTTTGTACCTTATATGTTAGCGTTGCATTTGATATTGGTGTGAAGTCTTTGTGGGGAAAAAACCTAACAAGTGGCTGGATAGCCTCCTTGCCTTGCTATGGTTCTCTTAGGTTAAAGAAAGGCTGTGTCAAAGGGAGAGTGTAGGGACAGGTGGTGGTGTTGCTACCTTACCTGGACAGATTTGGTGAAAAGATGGAAGACTTATTTCCAGAACATGTCATTCGTACTGCTTGTTGTGGTTATATTACATTTGCCTTGTTAGACTAAGAAAAATGTAAGTGCCTCCACAGGATGTACTATGTTGTGCAGCTTTGTACGAAAAGCGCAGCAGAGACCTGCACAGTGCTGGCCAACCACTGTGGTTTCTGTCATGGAACCCTGAAGAGAGGAGGCAAAGTGGACCCCTCTTCCACCCCCAAGTGAACTGGGGTTGCATGCACTAAATTAAAAAAAAAAAAAAAACAAACAACAACTCACAGATTAAGACAGAAAATATCTTTGTTAAAGTTCTTTTACACTTAGTACATCCTGTGACTTTCACTGTCACTGAGCATCTTCTCAAGAGCTGTATTTTTAACATTTATTTTAATGCATTCTGGTTAGCATCACTTTACAGGATAGCACCTTGGCAAGAATGTGTATATGTGTGTGCCTCTGACCTTATGTTGTTTTTCTTGGTTATTTCCAAAGGTGTGTGATAGAAAAGGCTATTGATGGGCAGACTGTGTTCAAACTCACAATCTCTGAGAAAGAGACCGTGTTTTATTATCGCACAGTAAATGGTTTGCAGCCACCAATAAAAGTAATGACACTGGGGAGAATTCTTGTGAAGAAATGGATTCATCTTAGTGTGCAGGTGAGTAAAATAAAAAACATTTAATATTTGTTGAAATACAACATTTGTGTGAGAATGGTTATAACTGTATAAATATAAAAGGGTAAATTGGGGGATGTAAATGATAACTCTTAAATCTCGTAGGTAAGGATCTTAATTTGGGAACTCATTTTGAGGTGATTGCTGTTTTCGCACTGGAAAGAAATGCTGTGCCCATTCTTCTGAACAAACAAGACTGAAAATTCTCACCCTTAAGAACATGAGTATTCGGGGCAAAGAAAAGCTACTTATTTCTAATGTTACCAATAAGTCTTGGGTCTCTGAGATTATTTCCTAAAAAGGAGAATGTCATCCTCAGCTATACATGCTAATGTACTTATCTTATGGAGGGGTGTCCCATTTAATTTTAAAAACTTCTTATAGTGCACATAAGTAAACATGTATGAGTTTGTGCAGGATCAATCAAGCTAGTAAGTTACAGAGCTATTACCTCTTATTTTAAAAATATGATTCAGAATTGTTAAAACACAATCCTTATGCTCTAAAATTCTTCTGTTGACATAACTTTTTAATAAGTGTACAAATATCCACTGAGGATAAAGCAAAATTGAGTTTGTTAAAATTTAAACTGTATGTACAAAAAATCAGTAAACAAACAGAGAAGAAATTAAAATTCAGTTATTTGCATGTCTTGTAATTCCCAACAGACGCTCTGGTAAATTCTATTTGTACGCCAAGTTCAACTAATAATTATAAAACACAATTATCAGGTATTGAAATGTTTATCTTCTCCTTCCTTCATTTCCTTTATCCGTTCTATTAAATTTCACTTGGTTTACAGCACAATCAAGAATAGTTTTGCTGCTTTCTTGAAACTTGCTAAAAGGTATTGACTGTGATTTGGATTTTTAGTGCTGATCTTGTCACTTGTAAGAAGTATCTAAGCTGACGTCTTGATTTTTTTGCAGTTTTCCTTTTTCCAGGATAACAGCATGGTAGTGCGAATAAGATTTTGGCTGTTGGATTAAAAGAGTGACCTTAAGGTAGAACTAATGAACTTTACACTTCAAACACTCCAAGGGTGCTATATTACTGTTGCTGCTGTCAGCCACATTTTGTACTAGCTTCGGAAGCTGCTAAAGCCTGGGATAGCAAAGTGGAGAGTAAAAGGGCTGGATTTAAATACACACACATATCTTAAATTGTATTACAAAGAACCCTCAAGCACTCTGTAGAATTTGGTCCTTTGTTTCTTTGGGGGAAGTTGTTCAATGCATAGCAGGTGTAAAGAAGTGTAGCTTCTAGACCTCTGAAGGGACTGCAGGCTTAATACCTTTTCCAAGTTTCTGAGCTCAGGGTAGAACCTTACATTCTGTGATTTGTGGTATTGTAGGATTCAACTTCCCATTAAAGATGATAGCGGTTGCAGCATGATCCATTTAGCACTAGGTCTGAAACTTTAGGCAAAGTTTGGTGTTGGGTTTTTTTTTTAGCAGCTGTCCAAAGCCATTTTTTTCCATAAATGGAGAAATAAATGGAAAATGAGAATATGAGAGAGAACCATAAAAAAAATGCAGAAGTAACATTCATAGGGAAGTGTCTGTGTCTTCAGACAATAGTAGTGTTTGATGATGATGTATATTTATATATCATGATGATACGTATTTGAATGGAAGCGTTTCCTTAAGCTAATGAAAAAGTCTTCTGAAGATAAAAAAAAAAAAATTCAGACTTGTTTGACAGCTTGCTTGATTGCTTGATATGTTTTTTGGACTAAAAGAAAATAATGTTTGTGAATGTTCTTTTATGGGGCAACTAGTTACTGTTCCTGATAAGACAGTTGAAAATGTGGAATGGATATTTTTGTGCATGTAACAAAACTTGTATATGTGGAAAAAGTGTAATTAAAAAAAAAAAGGAGCAAATAGCAGCATTGCCATATTTGGAGTTGTAGGACCCCTAAAAACCTCATCTGTGAATTTAAGACGGAGAGGGTTGGGATGTGGTGCTGCTATGCTAAGCAGAATTTTACGTAAAGAAATTATAATCTCTATGCATGAAGCATAGTAGGCACAAGCTATTCAGATTCTTTTTTTAAAAAGTATGTACTTTTACAATTTTTAGGTAATATAATTCAGATACCGGTGGTAACTGAAGATGTATGTGGTAGCAGCTCTTTTGTTTATTATGAAAATGTTTTAACTTTATGCCAGAGGTGTGGGCATCTAACCTATTGACAGTTGGTTTGATTTCCCAAAAATTTAAGTTAGAAGCATTAAATGCTGCAATTAATATCCCTGGCCTTCAATATGCATGACTTTTCTGGTAGATGAAGCATATTTAGTCCTTGTTTTCCCTGAGACTACAAAACTTTTTAACAGTGTAGCTTTTCTCTTAAATTCTGTGGTGGTTTAGGTCTGTGTAGTAAACGCAACTGACAACAGTGGGTCAAAATAGTTACCTTGCAAATTGTATTGGATATAAACTCGACCAGATATTCTCCACGATGTTTTGCAAAGTATTGTTCAAAGCCATGTACAGTATTGCATGCTTGACTGGTAGACAGGGAGGAAAAAAAGTTTTTGGCATGATGCCTTGTTGCTCAGTGACTGCAGACCAAATTACAGATATGTCTAATTTGGGGTGAGTCTGATTCAGGACAAAAGTTTTTTACTGAATGCTGGCACTCACTAATACAGTTAGCAAATAGGGGTGTCTAATGGGTCCTGCCCCTGAGAGAAAAACCAATACGTATTGGTTGGCTCACAGGGAATTTACGCATCTTGTTTGTGACAATGCCTGGGGTGAAGGATAGGAGCAGACTGGCTGGCACACCCAGTGGCTGCAACCAAAGAATCGGGGATTGAAGCACAAGGCTTTGCATGCTAAGTTGGTGACAGGAATAACAGCTAGTGGATACTGTGGGATTTGGTTTTGATAAGTGTTCACGGTAGATTGGTGAATTTTTGTGTTTGTTTTTTTAGCAGATTGGTTGTAGTTTGTGAAGAGTGTGTGTGTGAGTCATGTAGTTCAGCATGAGAAAGACTGCTCTGCCAAGGAGCTAGGGTCCAAGTCCATCTCTAAACACAGGTATGCCTAATGTGAGATTGATTTGGGCCAAAGGTCTCCAAAGCCAAGCAGTCAGTAGGATCTGGGAGCCTGCAAACAGGGGAGTTCCTGTGGTCAGTAAGAAAAACTGAAATATTTGTGCATAAATGCTAGGCAATAGACACCATGGCAGAGGAGTGTGAAGTACTGGTTGCAGATGTGAAACTGAGTTGAGAGAGAGCAGAAATATGGTAGGTTGATAGTTATGTTTGGAATTCAGGTATAGGAGCATATGCCTATTCAGGAATGATAAAAATGAAAGCTAAATCGTGGAATAGCACCAAATAGTAATTAAATGATAAGAGGGGGAAGGGAAGAAGAAAGGACAGTACAGATTGAAAATAATTTCTTTGGAATAAAATAATTCTAGGGGAAGAGAAGGCTAGTAAATGAATTCTACTGAGGTAATCTAGGAATTTAAATCCTTGGGTTTGGATTTAGATGTGTAATTCGTTAGAGGGAACTACTACTAAGAACTGTGTCATTGCAGAGGCTTATTGTCCAGTTTATAGCTGGGAAATTAAAGTTCTACTAACAAGAGCAGGGCCCAAACATTCCTGTATGTTCTGCATGAAAGGTTTCTTCATCAACTAGTCACTGAAGCAGAAAAGTCTGGACACCAGCTTTGTTAAGTGATGAGGGCATTATTAGAGATGTGGGTGTCAAGAATAATGTTGAGTATTCATAACTAGATTCAGATGAAATAGGAGAATAAAAAGTTCTGTGGTTCTGTAGGTATGCTTTTGGGTTTCAAAGAGAACAAACAAATAGGACTACTTTAATAAACCAAGGTGAACTGCGGAGCCCAGGAATTGAATGGAAAAAAGGCCTGGAGGTTATTAAAAATAATAGAATTAAGAGGAATCTCTGCCCTTAACAAAGGAAAAAATTGGATGTGTAGTGCCCAGGCTTATCTGAGTGAATAAGCACCTTTGCAGTTAGAGATGGCAGAGTCTGCAAGCACTGGGGAATGGGGAAGCAAATTCATTGAGAATGCTATATAGGAATAGAAATAAAACTGTAAATATGTCAAGCTGAATTAGACTTTGCAATGACTGTTAAATGGTAAAAAGTTCTTTAAGGTTTTTTTTTTTTGTGTGTGTAAGAAGGCAAGACCTGTGTACAGTGAAGGTGTGTGCTTGAGATTAAGGACGGTTTGAGTGCGGTCCCCAGAGTAAATAAATACTTTGCTTCCGTTTTCAATAATGATAATGATAACAGTTACAGAGCAAAAACAAGCTGGGTAACAGAAATGAACGTATGGAAACAGAAGTGATCATAAAGACATAAAAACATGAATTTGCAAGCTTATTGTGTGCATGCTGATGCAATCAGATGGTCTTTGTCCAAAAATTCTGAAAGAACTGGTACATAAAATCCTTTGACAAAGAGATATTTTATGCAAATCTACCAAATCAGAGGTGGAGCTATAATGCTTACATTTAGGAGGAAGAGTGTCATGCATTGATGCTGGCCAGCAGCCAAGCACGTAGGCCGCCCTCATCCCTGCCAGTGGAACAGGGGAGAGAATAGCAATAGCAAAAGTGAGAGAACTCATGGGTCAAAATGAAGACAGTTTAACAGCTGAAGAAAGGGGGTGCGAGGGGAACAGGTATTGCAAAGGCAATCACTGGCCGCCTCCCACAAGCAGAGCACTGTCTCTGAGCAGCAGCCACCTTGGAAGTAAAACCCCTGTTTCCCCAAAGTCCTTCTTCTACCCCAGTTTTTATTGCTAGGCATGATGTTGTACAGTATGGAATATTCCTTGGGTCAGCTTGGGTCAGCTGTGCCGGCTGTGTCCCCTCCCAACTTCTTGGCCCAACCCTAGCTTTCCGTTGAGGTGGGATGGGAGGTGCAGAGTGGGAAAAGAGAAAGGCTTGACACTGTTCAAGCACTCTTCAGCAACAGCCAAA